CAACACCACGAAAGCCTGCACAGCTTGGAGAAAAAAAGACCAACGCTACCAGTAACAGAGACAAACTCAGCAGAACAAATACACTTCATTGCAGAAGTGATGCTGATTAGGACATTGGCCCGAAAGCAAAAGCATTATTAAATAATGTGAGATTAGTACACAAGCAGCAGTGAGGCTAAGAAAGCAGTTGTGTCAGTGGGTTCAGCTGGAATTTCACTTGGCAGATATATTTACTGCTCATTGATAAAAAAATTAAAAAATAAAAAAATTAAAATTAAAAACAAGCGAACAAACGAAACAAAAAAAGTTACCAGGATGGAATCCTTTATTTTTTGTAAACTTTCAGGTAAGTAAGTCAGTAAGGATAAAGAGAATAAAGAGAATCCTGTCCCTTACTACTAAGGGACCTATTCTGGGAATCAGAGCTGGCATCATGTCATTGATACTCACCAGAAGCCAAAGTCTTCTGATCTTTGAGGTAAAGCATTAGGAAAACTGAGAGGGTCTGGGCTACAGATAACCAGACAGAAATTTGAAATAAGAACAATGAATACAAGGAGGCACACAGAGAGATCACAGTAAGGTGGCAGCTCGGGGATACTCACTGAATTATGGACATTGTGGCTCAGCTACATGCCTGTAATAGAGTTTACCATCGAAGGGTCAAGGGAGGCAGGTTTTATAAACAAGATATATTAACACAAAGGAGTTAATTAAAAACTCTCCGTGTGATACTAAGTACAAAACTAAGCGGTCCAAAACACAAAGGTCTTCCCACCATCCTCATATATTACAGTAGAGTAAAAATAGGAAACTGCTGGCTTACAGATTTCAAGCAATACTGAAAATTGAATACCAGTTGCTCAGACGGCAGGGGGGTCACTGCCTTTAATCTTAGAGTACAGCAATTTTTCTGGTTTTAAACACAGCTAGTTATTTCAATTAATTAACATGAATTTACTTAAACTTAAGTACAAGAATGCCAGGCATGAAGCCTTGCCGATCATAATTGGCTTGCCCAGTTAAGAAGACCAGATAAACAGTCTTCTCTGCAGGCTGTTGTATGCCCCCAGCCTCCTAAACCCTCTCATCAAAGAATCCCTCTTCACTCATTCACTGCCTTCCCACGGGACTGAACAAAGCACTTCAAAGTTAAATCTAAATGTTGTCAGGATCAGGCTTTCTCTTACCAAACAAAAGGTGAGCAATTAAGTCCCACATATGCTGAAAACCTTGACACTCCTTGGTGTAACAGATCATGACAGTTTCCTTACTGTTGTGAAAATGGTCATTAAACAATACAAGAGCAAGTATATTTACTATGGGTGTTCAACTGACTTACTGATTTTAAAACATTCAGCAATGCCTTCCAGACATCCCAGTACTTCGCAGCTCAAAACGGAGTATAATATAAAAACTGGTTACATGGTAAATCTCCACCTTTATCTGAAGCTATGTAAAGGATGCTCCATGCTTCCATTCCAGCTTGCCAATTTAAATCAAGTGGTGGTGATCTGTATTATATGTGCACATGCAAGTGGGAAAGAATGTCTTCAGAGACATCAAAAGCCTGATGGATTGGTCTTTTGTTTTGAAAGCGGTGATCAAAGGATCAGAATGTCATATTTTACATCCTAACCATCTCTTCTGCTATCCAATTTGAAAAATATTACCAGTAAACTGTAGGTACTGCAAGTTAATTGAGTAATTCATTCAGCAAAAAAGAGGAAAGCGTTGGGCTGACATATTTTGGGAAATTATCCTTCAAGACAAATCATCAGATTCTTAGCAGATATTTACCCAAACTCTAGTAACCAGCTTTAAGTGTTCAGCAGTAGAAATCATCTGCTGAACTTCTGAATTTCCAGCTCTGTGTTGAAATGTGGCTTTGTACTGAAAATAAAGTAGACAGGAGAATGGTTGAACTATGGTCTTCGAACTCTCAGGAGAATGTCCGGACCACTTATAAGATACCAAGTCCTTCCTAGTCTCTCCTTTAGTAGTGCTCTCCATTTGCATGTATTAGCAAAAGTTTCCTGAGCCAATGTGAGAAAAATCACTTTCTTGCCTAACAGACCAACAACTAAGCTGGGAAGTGGGGCATCTGGGGTCTGGTACCTGCTCCAGCATAAATGACTACTTTACAAAAAGAAATGGTCTTGACATGAGTGACTGGGAACATCAATCATCATGCTATATCCCAATCCAGAGAGCAGCTGCCTATAATCTTCAAGATAAGGATTTGCATTATTTCAGGGGGAGAGGGAAATAGAATGGGACCTGCTTCTGCCGTAGGTGTCAGAGGTGTCTCAGCTCCGAAATTTTGGAGTGAAAGGTTTTCCAGAAAAATTATCAGGCAAATTTCACCCAAGTAGCTTTCAGGTGATAAAACACTACTATTCAGTTCAGATGGTTAAAGCATTGACAAAAGAAGTTTGACCAGTTCTCAAATGAATGTATTCTACTTTCAACCACTGTGTCATACAATATACTACTACTTTAACAGCACTGGAAGCTCGCTGACTCCCAGATATGGCTGTCTCTGGCTTTGACTCAGAGCGTTTCTAGTGTGGGACTGACTATACATTCCATTCATTACTTTTATTCCTCCAATGTAAAATTTTGCTATTTATTCTGAGCAGCAGATAACAAGACTTGGAAGCACGTGTTTGCTATGAAATTAGGGGAAATTGCTGAATTCTAAAACTTATGTATTACAAAACACAAGGAAAAATGAAGCGCTTCAGAAAATGCCTTCAAAACAGCTACAACAGCAGTCACCTGATGCTGTGCTGATTTCTGTGTAACATGAATGAAGACCCGAGAAATTAAAATCAAAGGAAAAATCCAATGACTAGTTGTGTAAAGATGTTAAACATTAATGGTAATGGGGTCTACCAGATCTTTATAGTAAAAGAGGAAAAACCTTCTGAGACAGTCCCATTTTGTTCCAAGCTTTCCTGGGGCAATTCCTGCAGGATTTAGTCACTGAGGCAGAGAAAGTAGCCCCTGATAAACAGACAGAAGCTCAGCGGCTGGGTACAGTCTCAGGACCCAAGCAGGGAGCTGTAGGAAAGGCTGAGCTCCCCTCTCTCTTCATTAACAAGGCCCAAGGATGGTTTAGAGATGTGTTCAGCTACCTCCATTGAGATCACTGGGTTTGAGCTGACAGGGGAGTCCCTGTGCATAGCTGTATTTGAATTATTGAGTTTCTTGTAGGAAACTATTCTTACAGAGCAGCACAAAGCTATGTGGAAATAGGCTAAGGTACCTGCATCTCCTAAAACCAGGAGAAAGCAAAGATGCAAATTAAATGGAAATACATCTAAGGCAGGGGCCAAGGAGCGGCTGTGGGCTTAGTTTTGAGAATGCATTTTTAGACAAAACCCCATTTTTTAAAAAATGTGTGTGAGTGGGAGCCTACCTGCTCATTATCTCTTCACATAACCAGAGAGCAACTAGAACTTCTCTTGCAGGCTTTAAAACTATGAAATGCAATTAGGTGTGACCTGAGAAGACAGTCAGCAAGAGCTAACAGTTATGAATTGCCTGAGCTGAGACCAAGATTTCAGAAATTGGTACCTAATGTTTGACTCCTACATCTACACTAAAGTAGATTAAGGATGTAACCTGATTGTCCAAAGTGAGCACTCCCATGTCCAAATACGGGTCTTGGAAACTTATTTTGGTATAGGTTTTAGAAGAAAAACTGAGTGGATGTGATTTGGACACACAATATAGAAGCTAACAAAATACATCTCTGAATCTTCAGGGAGAAATGCTGGAGGAGGAGCAGAGATTCATAAGCAATCTCTCCCATTCCATTTCTTTATCAGGAAAACATGCATTTACCATGAAACATACAGAAACAGGAGTTAAAATGACTGACCTCCCTGGGAGCTTTGTTTTCACCCTAATAAGTCAAGCATCTAAGCAAAGCATGGTACTACACATTTGTAAGGAACAGCAATATTTTAACCAAACCATGATCCAAAGCACTACATTCTCTTAAGTATATTCATAAAAAATGGGTGCTGGTAGCAGCCATCAGAGAACACCATGAATTTTAAACAGGAAAATCCATATCTGATGGATTTCATCTACCCAGCTGAGTAATGTTAAGTGTTCACTGCCTGTGAACATGTGATTTTAATCTCACTGAAATATATGAGGCATGCACCAAGGAGAACATACCGTAGTTTCAACATACATTGCTGAGGACAGAATTGCATTGACCTCTGAGGAAGGACCATCCGCAGGCAGGACAACAGTAGGGACGGTCTTCCAGCCACATAAAAAGGTCTCGTTTCCCTGAGCATTGCACTGTATTATATGCGTGTCTGAAACCTAAAATGGTTTTCACATTGTAGTTAAAAATAAATGTCTACACAACTAATTAAACACAGAATTTGGATTAAATGTCTATTTAGACCTCTGCTTATGAACACAGTTTATTGTTATAGCTTGAAAATACATTTCTGTGGAGATCTTTATAAACTGTCTTTTAGGTTTTATTACAATTTTCCCATGTGCTGTTATATGTGCATGTGTACACACATATCTTTACAACGGGTATAGTTAATTATCTCATTAACATCTGAAGTTCTGAGTCATCAATTTAACTTTTTCAGAGGGCTAAAAGAACAGCAACCCGTATGGATTTTCCAACCAATCAAAAAAAGACAAATCGCTCTTCAGGCAAATCAGAGTCTTGACTTAAGCTTACCTGGACTTGGATCTTTGCCAAGATTTTAAAATTGCCTTTCAAAAAATGTCCCAAAAGTCTATAGAAATATCTCTGAGTGTTAGATGCAGTGTCTGACAGGAAACTGTAATGTTACTTAATTAAAAACTTAATCCTGGATGTTTTGGTGGGGAAAAAAATGGAAAGTTTAGCTCTTTCGAAGTAGTATTCAAATTCAAATCTTGTGGGTGGAGTTGGGGTGCGTGAAGGTGCATAAATAGGCAGTAGGAAGGGCAGTGTTCACACTGCAACCGGGAACACCTTCGCACCCTGGCAGGCATCTGGGAGACTAAACAAGGTAAGGCACGGCACGCTTACTGCTTTAGACAGTACCTGGGGGAGCTGTGAGCCCGGGTTACCGGGGGCTGGGGAAGCCAATCAATGGAAAAAAGAGACTGCAGCAAAGTAGGCACAGTTCAGCACAGCTTGCTATGAAGAAAAAATGTGTAGAGAAATGTTGGCTTTGTAGGTTAAAAAAGCCAGGAGAGGAGGGTTTTTTTGGGCGGTGGAAAACTTAGTAAAAGTGCACATAGCCTTCCAGAGGTGAAGTTTTGAAAGAACATGTTTAATGTTCCTCTGTCTCTGCTTTCTGCATTCTGCATCAGCAACAGCATAACGTCTGCCTGGTCTTTAATTTCCTTGTTGTCCCATACCTTCTTCTTTTTCCTTTTATTTTTCTTTTGAAGAAGCATTTCTTCTGCTATACAGCTCTAGCCAAAACAACTCTTGAGGCAACCCTGAAAATCCACTGGCTTTAATTTAACTTTATGCAATTTTCCTCCTTGCCAAGGAGACTTTTCTTAGGGCAGAAAGACAGTCTACTGCAAAAGTCATATTTCATGCCCTTGAAACAGTGAGTTTTTAGATGTTTGGGGTCTATTGGACATCCCAGCAGCAAAGAGCACTGTACCACTGATCCAAATTCAGCTTAATGTCTCCTCCTGCAGTTCCTACCCAGAAAAATGCTTCTGTTTCCCTGGAGTTTCATTTTCATGGTCTGAATTTTAACAACTATCAGCCTGCTGTAATTTTTGCATGAATCTTTTGAATTTTCTGTATCACTTTTGGAGTATCTTATTTCTTATTGTACCTATTACATTGGTGTTCTAGTTTCTAGGAGGAAATCTAACGAGAAAACATAGGGTCATGTTGCTAAAGTTTTACCCCTTCAAAGAAGCATCCCAGCTGAAATGCTGAGGAGCTTTCCATCAGACATGTCTCATCTCCATCTCCATGCCCCAGAGTCCGGCTCAGGAAAAGCCATCTGCTTTGTGTTGCTTAAACCAGCAAACTGCATTTCAGTTCTTACTGTTCTACACAGCAACTCCCCCCCACTCTTTTTATTATAGATTCTACTGGCTTTAAGGATTAGATGGTGCGTTTAAGGGGCAAGACAGGATCGGAAGTTTCAACAACAGCATTAAGCTGTGCCTATGCCAAAGGCTCACTATAAAGCCTAGCTTAACATTTTGACTTCTTATTTGAGTTGCTCCCACTGCAAAATGGAGGAAGGGCCAAGACAAGTTAATTTTTCAGCACCTGCTGCTGGGTTACTATAATGCTGGGAGATAGAGGTAGAACTGTGAACTAACTAGGACCTGCAAGTACTTCTGAAATTGCCAAAACTCAGTTGTTTTGCTGAGCAAATTCAATATATGTAAAAAGAAGAGAGAGAAACTAACACATAAGTGCGCATCTTGAAGGACCACAGCCCAACGGCACGAACAGAGCAGTAGAAAGCAGCCAGGTCCTTCACGGCAATTTGCTAAGCAAACCCCACACTTCCTTGAGGTTCCCCCAAGCCCAGGCCCCTGCCCGGAGCCGTTCATTTCAGCCCTGACTCACCCTGCTGCATACCTGTGACTTGACCTGCTGCTCTACCTGTCCTTATCAGCTGTGTGCCTCAAAGCAAGCACCAGCTTGGGAGGCGTGACAACGTAAAGTTTCTCTCATCTGTTCCAGGAGCAGCCATGGAGAAGAGTTACATGTCCATGTTCCTGCTGCTCATTGCCATCTCCTGTGCTCTGGCAAAGGATGCGGCCAAGAAGGAGACGAAGGAGACAAAGGAGACTACTGCTAAACCAAAACTGCCTCAGACACTCTCCAGAGGTAAAGCCCTTCCCGGTAGATGTGGGCAGGGGTTGGGACGCAAACCCCCGGCGCCGCTTGTAACGCACTGCCTGTCCTTCCCCCGCAGGCTGGGGAGACCAGCTCATCTGGACGCAGACATACGAGGAAGCCCTCTTCCGCTCCAAGCACAGGTACCGTGCCGCGCTCCGCCGCACGCCGCTCCGCGCCCCTTCGCACCCCCTCGTGCCTCTCCGCCCCCTAACAAGGACTCTTCTTTTCCAGCAACAAACCCCTGATGATTATCCACCACTTGGATGACTGCCCGCACAGCCAAGGTAATCCCTTTGCACTGAAAAAAAAAAAAAAAAAAATCATCTGGTTTTTCGGTTTCTGGATAAAAGCTGCTTAAAAAAAAAAAACCCAAACAAAACAAACCAGCCACCATTCTGCTTGCTGAGTAAGCCTTAGTGAAATGCTAACTTGCACAAGCACACGTGCTTCAAATTGCTGCCCCACGTAGGTATTTTCCAATGTGCAGAAATAAAATAAAAATGGTAATTCAGTATTATAGGATACAGAACAGATACAGAAATGAGCACATGTCAGCAGGTTTTGACCTGTGGCAAATCTGGTTTTGGTTTGCATCACAATCAGCCAAAACCAACAGCAAGACCAAGAGTAGTGAAAAACAGTAATTTATTGGAAAGGACGTATTCAGCTTTCAGCATCACTGATGATTGAGACTGAATTCGGCCAGGGACTCAATCAAACCAGGCTGAAAGCGAGCTTTTGTGGGATTTCTGGTAACTGGGACTGCTCTTTTCCCAGAGTTTCTGAATTTACCCAAGGGCCCTTCCTCCTGCAAGCCGATCCACACGGCAAGACCTTTGTGTCCATCCATAGCTCTAGTAACTCCAGAAGAATCTTTGTACAAGCATTAATATCCTCTCAAACATCTCAGGCTGAAGTCCTACACCTCCACACTGAATTTTCTGTGCCTTAAGAACTGGAGCCAGAAACTGCACTAGCAGACTCGGAGGTTTGAAGGATCAAGTGCTCAAATTCAAGCTCAAGCAGACAAATTTGAGAGCTGCACTATCTGAAGGAAGGAGGGACATTTTTTACCATTATATTTACTCTTTACCACAGAATATAAATGAGTTGATCATCTTCCAGAGGAAGGAACTTAAAATCTTCATTTGCTGCAATTGTAAACTGGGAATTCTCTATTTGATTCTACTTTCATTCCCATTTATTTCCACTCTAGCACTCAAGAAGGCCTTTGCTGAAAATAAAGATGTACAGAAATTGGCTGAGAAATTCATTCTCCTGAATCTTGTGGTAAGTTTCCCAGTTCCACTTCATTAAGTGAAAGCAATAAAGTTCTATTTTTAATTACGTCTTCTCTAGCTATAATTAGTCAGTTTAATAGCTAGGATTGGCTAGGAAAATGGCCAGGGCTGAAGCATAATAGATTTAGTAATGTGTCTTTCATCTGTAGCTATCATAACCTGAAAATATGAGGGAATTTAAAGTTTGATAATAACATTAACTGTTGTTATCAATTTGCAACTCCAGCTGTTAAAAGATCGCATCCTAGACAGTGAATTTCTTAAACTGCAAAATGTATTATTTAAGCTCTATTTCGTAGCACAAAGTACACTGAAGAAAAAAAACATATTTATGTAACATGCCCTCCTTGACTGGGAACCTTATCTCTTTTCTTTAAGTATGAAACCACAGACAAGAATCTTGCACCTGATGGCCAGTACGTCCCTCGGATTTTGTTCATAGGTGAGTACCTCAAGCATCAAAGCTGATCTCAGATCAAAGCCCCTGCTGTGCCATGAATCTTAAATCCTCAGGCTTATTAACGGGAATTTATTCCATGTGAAATATAAAATTTCTAGTTGGTTTTGTTGGATGCAATTTCAAAGCAACCCCAGCCAGGTCATTAGCTTCACCGGTCCAGCATTCCTCCCTCATGGATTCTATGAATGATGTAATTCCTTCCATTGTGTCATCAAAATGACATGATGCCACAGCCACTGGAATGGGTAGGCACGGGCTCAGCCTTGCTCATCCTCCCGTCTCTAGAAATACTGTAAAACACTGACAGGTTTCTGTTTGTAACACAAGCTCAGCCATTGCAGGAACAGCAGTGACCCCAAATGCTTCAGAGACCAGTTTTCAAAGCTCATGCTCCACTAACCTGCACAAACCCCTCCGAAGCATTTGGTGGCCATGCATGCATCCAGGTACTCCCTCTCCTAGAAGGTATATGTAACCTCACATACTGTGCACACCTATCATTATACATACCTTGATAAATCTAGGTCATGATGACCATTTTCAACAGACCAAAGCAACTGGCATACTATGTCTTCCTTTATTATTCCTTTTTTAATGACATTTGTAGCCTGAATGCAGCCTTGGCTGGTAGAGTTAATTTAGGCACTATGCAGTGGCACAGGGTGGAAGGCTGATCAACATTGATCAGAATTAAACCTATCCCCTTCTTAACAAACCTGCAAACACAACACTTTTAAAATTGAAATGTCAGTGACTGTGTAGAAGAATGATCTCTTGGTTGTGAGTGGAAGCACTTGCCTTGCAGAAACATTTAGGAAGCAAGCAGAAGTGCAGAAAGGCTTATTTCCTTCTGCTTGGAGGTTAATCTCATCCTCTACATCTTCTCTCATCCTTTTTTCCAGATCCTTCCCTGACTGTGAGAGCAGATATTACTGGAAGATACTCAAACCGTCTGTACGCATACGAGCCCACTGACATTTCATTGCGTAAGTAGCATATTCTGAAATATTCTGAAAGCAGTTACATTTTTCACGCGACAAGGAATAACACCAGGCATTACAGACCCTCCCAATCAGTACTTGCTTGAAAGACACTTAGCCAGGATTAAAATGAAACAGGACGCTAGACTTTTAAACTCAGTGAGGTGAAGAGAATGATGGCAGAGCCCTGGAGCCTTAAACATCCATCTGTTTTAAAAGAAAGCATACGTCAGTAGGAACTCGTATAATCCAGCAGCATTCAGTGTAAGCAACGGTGAGAGCTCTTGCACACAAGCCCCGCCGGGCCAGGCCAGGAAACCTTCTGGGAGCGGGGAAGAGTCGTATGCTATAGCCCGCCCTCACCGCTGCACAGCTCCCCTCTCCGCCCTGCGAGCGCCTATGCGTTTGCATTAGCGGATGTATGTTCTCACCAGTCAAAATTAAACAGATGATGTTCACAAAATGCTTGGAAGAGCACAGTGCTTCAGAATCCGTGTTACAATAGGCATGCGAGCGAAAGCTTTAATAATAATGACATTTTCTCGACAGCATTTGTAGTCACTGGAAGTTGCAACAAAAATAACATGTATGAATATTTCATTTCTAGTGCATTCAAATATGCAGAAAGCACTCAAACTCCTGAAGACTGAACTGTAAGGGGAAGGAGGAAGCCCTGAAATACTATGAAGCCTGATCTTCCATCTCTTCTCCACTCATTGAAACTGGTGAAGAGACTATTTAGGGTGACATTTAGTGATGTATAGTGCTGGTTTATATACATAAACACTACAGTTTTACATTAGCACTTTTGTACCGGGCAGCATTTTTAAAAGCTGGAGGCTTTTAATTTAAGGCGTACAGAAGAATACTGTATGATCCACCTGTAAAAATGATTTTTTAAAAAATAAATCCATTTCAAGTGTTTACATACAAAACGTTGCCGTGTTTTGTATTTTTTCCGTATTATCATCTACCATTATTAGAAAGAGCAAAATCACTGTTCCTTGGGACCGCAGCTTGCAATTTTACACCTAAGCACTTTGAAAGGAAAAGGGCTGCTGTGGGTTAACCCTGGCCAGCAGCTCAGCCCCGCACAGCCGCTGGCTCACTGCCCTCCAGAGGGAAGGGGAAAAGAGTCGAAGGGTAAAAGTGAGAAAGCTTGTGTGTTGAGGTGAAGACAGTTTAATAGGTAAAGCAGAAGCTGTACATGCAAGCAAAGCAAAACAAAGAATTAATTCACTACTTCCATCGGCAGGCAGGTGTTCAGCCATCCCCAGGAAAGCAAGGCTCCATCACGCATAACAGTTACTTGGGAAGGCAAACATCGTAACTCTGAACATCCGCCTTTCTTCCTCCTTCCCCCAGCTTTTATGGCTGAACACAATGACATACGGTAGGGGACATCCCTTTGGTCAGTTGGGGTCAGCTGTCCCGGCTGTGCCCCCTCCTTGTGCACCCCCAGCCTGCTCGCTGGCAGGGCGGTGTGAGGAGCAGAACAGGCCCTGACTCCGTGGAAGCGTCGGCAGTAACTAAACCATCCTTGTGTTACCAACACTGTTTTGGTCACAAATCCAAAGCATAGCACCATACAAGCTACTATGAAGAAAATTAACTCTACCCAGCCAAACCCAGTAGAGGGAAGCAACTTTTTATCCCCAGTTTCAGCAGCTGGCTAAGCTCTGTATTGCTCACCCTGCTTTATCTCCATTTATTTTCCCGTAGCACCAACCTATGTCGAGCTCCCATTATCAGCCCTTTCTTTACAGTTAGATAACAAGAAGCACAAACCCTTTATAGAAAAGTACTTGAGACTAGAGGATGGGATTGTTCATATGGGTTTTTTGTTTCTTTTTTTAAACTGGCTGCATTCTGAAGTGATCTGAGGATCACCTTATCTACTTGATTTTTTTTTAAAAGATAAAAACTGCTTCCCTTAAAAGATTCCTCTTTATGCTGGAATTCAGTAAAGCCTTGAGATGATTAATAGAAGCGATACTGTATTGAGTGTACGGCTGGTTTCATGATTGTGTTACAGCTTGTGATTGCTTATTTACAAGCCCAAAAAGGACAAGAGAAGTCAGAACTAAAAGAAATCCTGCAGCTGACCACCATGGGAGTACACACCACCTCAAGACTTAGGCCAAAAGACTTTCCAACCTCAAATATCTAAGAATTCAGCAGCAGCACAAGTGAGAAACACTTTGCCCAGGACTACACCTGCACTATCTTCTCAGCTTTTTGGCGGTGTCAGCCATTATTACGACAACTATTACCATTACTGCCACTACCAGTCATGATGATAATCACAATAGAGAAATACACTTGGGTGGGTAGGACAGGCAAGAGAAGCAAGGGTTTCAGCTCAAGGGAATTGCTCAACAACATTAGAAGCAAGGCACCTGCTAATATGCCTTTGGCAAGCTATGTGAACCCTACCAAGCAGAAAATCTCAGGTGGTAGCTGGAAATGGCCCCAGACATGCAACTGAGTATTCCTTCAGCAGTTCAGTAAGATGTTCCTTTCTATTGCAGCATCCTTTAATTGTGATGAGAAATTCCCTGCTGCAGAAAGGTCCTTCCCTTCCTTCCCAAGTAGAAGACAGGAAAAAAAAGAGTGCAGTGGGGGCAGAAATATTCTCTGGAAGCAGCTATCAGCCACAAAAAGCAAAAAAGGTGTTTACACCACTGAGCGGAGGGACAGCACGGAGGGAGGCTGGAGCAGTTGGTTACCAGAATCGTCTTATCTACTCAACCCAAAGTTCACTTGCTAGAGCTGCGTATCCGATACACAAAAAAAAGCCGCTGCCCATGTCCTCACATATAAAAGTCTGGTTTTATAACTACTGAAGTAGCATCTTTTTCTTAAGCAAATGTACTGATGCTATGGATAATATCCAGCAAAGGGATATAAGGAATATTCTACAGGGTCTACTAGTCTACATGCTATAGATGCAAATACGCAAGCTAGATCAGCCTGTGAGTATCAAGAAATTAATTTTTGAATCTAAAATACATTTTTTGCACTCAATGCTGTTTTTATAGTTTGCTTTTCACCTCAGCCAAATTTTCAAGAACTTTAATATGTAAATGGTCAACTTCATTCTGCTCTTTTCATTCTCTCCTCTAAATACAGATTATTTAGGTCTACAGAGGCATCAAGCCAAGCAGAGTTACCTAAAAAAATATATATTTTTCCATTTCTTTGGAAAACCTGGGAAAATAATTTCTGAAGTATACATGCTCAGTAACTTGAAGTGCACAGGATGAATGGGGTTTCCAGAATTCCACTACCATTCTGACAACCTTTAAATAATTAGAACCAAAAAAAATAATGCAAGCTAATAACACTAGCACATTCCTATTCACTTATCAGCTATAGTTTTTAAGGTACACTTTTACAGGTATCAATTCAAATTATGCAAGCTTTTTCTTTCTGTAATAAATAGTTATTTTCATGCGAGGAGTCAGATGCTGTGCAGTGGTATCAGCACATTAAAGATCTGGATTCACTTTCTTAGACAGATACAGAAGAATTATATTTTATTATTTTATAGCCAATTATTTGTACGTGATAAAAATGTGTAGGGGTCTTGAAAGAAGTCAAGACATGTTTCTACATTTTCCAGAATAACCAACTTTAAGAAAGCATTTCAAGATAACTAAGGTCAAAAGACATCTAATATAAGCATTAAGAGTGCTCTAAGTTAAACGGCTGTGTTATTTTGATACTCTGCTGCTGTAAATAGCTTCTAGAAAATCTGGTTACAATTAAGTCCAATTCTCAAGCAGTCAGATAAAAATTAAAATGCCTCTCTAGAAACCAAACAAAACCCATCTTTATATGACCAAAACTATTTTCTCGAGGAAAGACAAAGCAATGAACAAAGCAAACTTCAAAGACAAAACCCACCAAGAATAGATATAAAGATATAGAGCTTTTTTTAAATTTAAACACATGAGAACATTTCTTGTATCCTGACATGCGAGTCAGACCTCTCCTGAGGGAGGCTATCCTCTTCCTCCCCACCCCAAACAAAGTCAGACTCAATGTGTTTTATTGCCCCCCCCCCGTTAAGAATCAGGTTCTGAAAGTGAATTGACATCTCTGATGTGAATTTCAGGGTTTGTGTTTGTTTTTTTTTTTTTTAACTTTAAATCACAATACTAAAGAGACAAAGTATTATTAATATGATAGAAAAACTTCAGTCAAACCATACGATCCACTGATCTGTCTTTTGACTACTAAAACATTCACACTAAGGGTTCTGAGACACGAGAGTTTCTATAGTAACATTTTCAGTATTTTCTCAGTGATGCACATTTAGACTCCAGTATCACCTACCATGTTTATGAAACCAGACCCACCCAAAACTAAGCACTAAAAACAATTAGGAAGAAAGTGAAAATTGAAGCAGCAATGCGGTATTATTTTAAACTTCATACACCCTCTCCATAAGACTCCTCTATTCATTTATTATAGTAATGTACAAAATGCAGAGCCTGTCTAGACTAGGAAAATTGAATGTTGCTAAAGACAGCCACAAGATGATCACCGTCCTCTTGACACGTATTGAGAATGGCTGGTTAGTTACTTAAAAAGCACAGCACTTGGGGGAAAAAAAAAACCTGCGTATATTTACATTATACTTCAGTAATAGTCTGAAGGCTCTTTAGGTCTTTCAGTACATGAGCGGGCTCTTACACAGAACATACAATATGTGTTTGAAACAGACACTAATACTTGTTGACATACGAAGCAGTAATTCACAGACCAAACACCAGGAGATGGCGCTGACAGCAGATGTTGAAGAATCAGCTACACCTGAAGAGAAGCTGCAAGTTCTTGACATCCCTCTGCGTTCAGGTTCAACTCTTCCCCTTCGAAACCTCGAGACGGTTCCTTCTTTAGGAGTACTGGGCACATGAAAGCCTGAAAGTATTCTGATGGGCATGCATTTCAACTTCTTTTTGTTGCAGGAGCAAGGAGGCATCTCCCTAGTAACGGGTGACTGTATGAGAACCTACTTCTGTCTGCCCTCACTGTCTTCCTTTCCACCTCGCTCAGCTGCTGTATTCCTTGGCAGATGGCCTTGATGGCCTTAACTCTTCCCCTCTTCTTCCTGCAGAACTGTCTTTCAGGCTACAGCAGCTGCCTACCACACCAGAAACAGCAACTGAATGAAGAGACGGTGCATTGCAGGTCTGCAATTCAGTGTGATTAGAAACAAATGGAACATTATGCACCTTGGGTGTTTAGATGTCTGACATTCCAGCTGGTGCATCACTTCTATTACAGGTTGGAAGAGGACCATGCTTTCCTTCAGCTCAGACAACACTTACTACATGGCTAAAGTACCATTCTAACTTTAATTCTTTTTTTTTTTTTTTTTTAAACAAACTACTGGAAACCATCACTTTTTTTTTTACTTTTCTCTTTTTTTTTTTTTTACACATCATTCAAACTCTAATGAAATCAAGACTGTTAGCTGGATGACAGAGGAATATACACTGCTGAGTTATTACAACAATAATTTTACACCATCTGAAAAAATAGCTGTACAACAACTTTCCAGACATCAAGTTTCTTACATTAAAGATGACAGACCACTATTGATTCTGATGTTGCGCAAATACCAAACTTCGTTCACTTGTCAAAGAAAAAAAGTTTCAAGTTTGTCAGCTGCAGATCACATTCTCCTGGTTTTCTTCATTCATTGTTCTCATAGTGAAGATATCCATTAAAAAGTAAAGAATTGTTTTTACTCTCAACAAAATTCTAAAGCTACCAGAAAGCCAAAACAAACAGGGAAGGGGAGGGGTGAAGACTACAGTAGTCATTAACATATACTTATGTGCACTACAGAAAATAACATCTCTAGCTTCTATTTTTACCTTCACAAGAAAGTGGGAGACCATTATTAAGACAAAAAAGTTGACCAGAGTTCATCCTAAAGCCTAATCAAATCACACAGTCCAACCATCCTCCATATATTTTTATCATTTTAATGAGAAATCATGTGAATTTTTGTAATCAATGAATACAGCAGAAAATACTCCTGGGTTTTTTTGAACACCAGAGAAACCAGTAGTGCTATAAAGCTCACTGTATAGAGTTCACCACATCAATCACCAAAGTCTTAACAGAGTTATTTAACCAGCTCAGAGTAGCAATCTGACTCTGCGCAGCTACTGAATGCACCAGTCTACTTCAAGAGCGAGATTCTTAAAAGAAAAATAGTGGGAAATGAAATATGAAAACTACAAATTTCTTTTGGAAATAAAGTTTTCTTTTAGGTACATGTAGAATACCTATTATGGAGAAATACCAAACTATGGAGAATCAGTATTTTGAAGTAGAGGGTGCAGAGAGAAGATTCACTCCTTTATAAACTTATCAAAGAAATGCACTAGGGTTTGCACGGGGATCCTTTTGGTTCCTGTATCTATACGTCAGCCAGACTCCCAGAATCTGAAAACAAAACCCAAAGATATTATTAAGCAGAGGATCTCCACCCCATCTTCCATCAGTTTTACAAAACTTGATTTAAACATAAAATGAATTTCCAGTACACAAGTTTAGGATATTTTACTATTGCTAAAATTGCACAACGACACACCAGCTTTCTTAATTAGAAAAAAGAATGCACCTTCTCAGAAAGAATTCATACTTCGTAACAGAGAGAAGAACAAAACAAACAAGCCAAAACTGTATTCACAATGCAATGTGAAGTATTTCTTATAGGCGTGCCTAGTATTAAATTATTCTTCCGCTCCCCAAACGATAAATATTCATAAACCTGTTTTTAGTGTAACGATAAACAAATCCTCCAAATCGTTTCATTTTACAGTTACCACGTAACTATAAGGCTATTCTTCTAGTACATTTTCAAATCCTGTCATTCCCTCCAGCTACCTTCCTCCCTCCCGGCAGCTTCACATTTTTAGTGGAGAAATTGGAGGGCAGATATCAGAGTGATTCTGTTTAAGTTGCTGTATCTCTCTTGTTGCTATAATATCTACAAACCTTCTGAAAACTGCACTAAGAAGCAGGAGGAGTATCTTCACGTGCTCTACTGTGGGGTTATGAAAGACCTGCTCTGAGGATTTTTATTCACCCATCAATAAAGAAAGTATATGTATCATCTGGGTACTACAACAAAGAATCAAAGACCTTTTTAACCCGATGTTTAAAATACAGTTCACTCATCATGAAACTATATCTTTGCACTACAGGAGGCACAAAAAAAAAAAAAATCCCAAACCCAAAAAACCCCAAAGACTGCGTATGTGCGTGGATGGGGGGAGGCAGGAAGAACAGGGGAACAAGGTAAAGCAATGGCACTCTTTTTATTACTTTTGGAGAATGGTAAATCTGAATAGCTAACCTCCTGCAAAACTTAAACTTTACAGCACCACATTTTAATGTGGTATCTAGTTGTGGTTTGAGTCTAAATCACATAAAGTTGCAAGAATTCCCAGTGTTGAATAAAGACGAGTCCTCCTTTTGGCAGACTTAAGCAAGCTGATAGCCTGGAAAAATTTTACCTAATTAATTATTTGTCTCCTGAGATAATACTGAGAGTTCCTGTAATAAACCCCCTAAAATTAATTGTTTCACAAAACGAAGCCTTAAAAGTGGGGAAAAAGCACTCAGTTTTCTAACCTCCTACTCACTTACCTCTGTGAAACTGAAGAAGAGTCCTATGCCTCCAACAAATCTCAGCACCATTCCAGAATACTCTTCTATTATTGGTGCACATGGTTGACACTGGTGATTTCTAAAACAATCCTGTAACAGATACAGAGAATTGCATTCCATCTTCTGATAACACTTCATTGATTGAAAGCATCTAGTTAGCTCTATAAAAGACTGCCAGCCATGGACAAAACTCTAGCAGTTTCAAAAGACTCCAAAAAAGCAAGTGTATAAATGACAATGGCGTACAACCTATCAAGGGTGCTGTGTGATTATGTTTCCAATAAGTTAACTAAAGAGCTTAGTATCATTGTAACAACTACCTTGCACATTTCTTTAAAAACTCTGCTTTCTGCAACTATGAAAACAGTTGTACATATTTGAACAAACACAAAGAAGTTGTAAGTTTTTTCATGCTTGAAGAACTTACAGAGGAGCAAGTTTCATTCGGATCAAAAACTCTGAATCCACAACAATTCAGATTTCTCTCAATATCTGTTCTCGCGCTGTTAGTGTTATTCCATCCCACCTCTAGAAGTTGACTCTAGAAGGCATAAGCAAATACACATTATATTAATTAAACTGTTTTGCATTTCATTGGAAACCAATACACTAGGCCAAGCTGATAATTCCCTAACCAAAATCTTCAGACCCTGAAGTCTAACAGGATAATATATTAAAGAATTACTTGAACGTTCAAACAGCCTGTGTAGCTAATGAAACGGCAGCACCTAGCAGCAGCACAGTCATGGTTATAATTAATTTTCTTCCTTATTTTTTTTTCCTAAACATGATAAAAGCACTAGTAATGAGACATGCAACTAATCTAACTGGGACTGCTCAGGTTTTAAACAGTGTGCTTACATGTAGGAAGCTGATTATTTAGTCACTGTACCCTTGCCTGCTTCTTATGCAGTTAAGAATTAGGCTCCATACCCCATGGAAGCTGGTTTTACTTTCACACTTAAGGGTCATCTCTGTTCCTAATGTAGTCATGACCTTTTCAGTTACACAAAACCAATCTTTACATTATGATTACTGTACTCTTCATCAGCTTAACTGGAATTGCTGAACACGAGACAGTTAAGATATCATGCTGCTATACTTGTGACCATAAAACTACACAGGAAGCCTAAAAACAAAACAATTTAAAAAAGACAGCTGAAAGTAATTTTAGAACCCAGATGTATTTCTTTCTAGCTACCACAGCCAAGCACTGCCTAAGGTCTACTCCTTATTTAAAAGGCTAATGCTGATTTTCTTAAAATATGCTCTCCCCATTTTGTGGAAGACTATATATATATATATATATAAAAAATATGTGTGTGTGCGTATGTCTGTGTATGTACATATATATTTACAGTATTATGCTGTAGATTAACTGAGAAGTCAAGAAACTTTTCTTACCTGCTGCTCCTTGTTTAGTGCCAAACAGGCACAGGAGACAGAAAACTGGACAATAAAGACTAGCAAAAGAATAATCATGTACTGGAAATAGTAGTTAAGGATACACTCTCAAATTAATTTTGCTTTTACAACACATACACCTAATGGTATTCCTTATTTCACTGGATAACAATAGGTCCTTTAAAAACAAAAGAAATACAGAAGTAAATTCTGACTGGATGTCGAAAAGATGACCCAAATAATGTTCCCAGAACTCCATTACCATATATAATCTCTTTTTGGCTACTACTATACATAGCTGGTATTTCTGGGTTAGGTGTTTCTTGCCTAGCAAGACAACATGAGCAGAGAGGTTAATAAAAGGAGCTTCGACAGAAATCTATAGCCAATTTCTCCAGCTTTAGGGACTCATGTTGTCATTTTGAGATACTTCACTTAAATACAGTAGTAAAGAAAACGCTCCTCTGGGTATTGCATATTCAGAAGTTTTTTTTCTTCAACGACATAGTCCTGTAATTAATTACAAAAGGTAACTTTGGCCTAGATTAAAACAAAAAGCGAGAGTTGCTTTTGGAACACAGCCTCACACACTTTTGGACTAACGCATCTGAAAACAGCATAAAACAATAAGAAAAAACTTTGGTACTGATGATCACATTTTGAAAGTCAGGCACAATTTCACTGCTGTGTTCAGAGGCAGATACTTATCTCACACAATTAAACTGTTTGTAAAGTGGAGGTGACCACTTATTCACAGACCGCAATGAGAAAAATAAGAATTTTGTCTGATGAATCTCTTCTCTCATCCAAACAAATCAACTTTGTTACGCAAGGCAGCACTACAGACTGCTTACACAGCATCAGTAAGCATAAAGGGACAGCAAAGCACACTGAGAAGGCCTGTGCTCATTTCCAGTCTGGGTTCACAATTAAAGACTATGTATGTAAAGAAAGTGCTTCCTGACAGCCTGTGTTACCCACAATGCATTCCCCTACCAGTTACAACCAGCTCGCTATCTGGAAGTATCACCTTTCTCTACCGTTAAACATTAATAGCTCACAAACTCTAGCTTGGTGTAGGGCTGAGCACACAGTAACAGGCACCTGTGACACAGTGACCCATCATAAAAAGCTCTCAAAAAATTAAAACAGTTTGATTTTTAAAAAGAGGAGACGTGAATACTTCTGTCTTCAGAGCACAAACAAGGGAGAAAAAAAGGAAGCTGGAATAAAGTTATAAATGGGAAGGAAGTTTAATTTAGACTGTACTTGACCAAAGTAAGATTGTGAATTTCTGTTCTGTTTCTGAAGCACTTTCCATATCAGTCTCAGCTGACAGAGCAGGTTGCTTACATGGCTTGAACCATGCTGTGATCCATGTAATGCATTAGAAGGATACAAAGAATAGCAATACTTGATGATGTTTCACCGCACCAATTAATCCGACTAAGGCAATAAGGAAGAGGAAGATTCCTACTGCAATTGCCACTCCAACAACTCTGAAACTAGAGATGAGGCCAAAGCCGATTCCCCATGCCGCAATTCCAATCAGCAGCAAGCTTACCAGCTGGAGGGAAGAGAAAACAAAAAGTTAGTCTGTATATTAAAAGAGGTTCAACCTACACACAGCTACATTCTTTACATTAAAGTTATTAGGTACAATTTTTCTTTCCAGTGCAAAGAGAAGAAGCATAACCCTAAACAAACCAATCCTCCACTTCATCGTAGAGATAATTTCAGTTCCAGATGTTTTAAGGCATACGTATTCTTCAACACTGCCAATATGGAGCTGTTACAACCTCATCTACCTGCAAGTCGAGCCATGTTGCATTACCTGTGACTGACTAGACACTAAACTGAAGTGTGGATTATAGCAGAATTGACAAGCTAAAATCATCAGCTTTAATTCACAGGATGGAAGAAGAATGAAAATTCCAGATGTCTTCTGAAACAGAGGCAGTGTATTTAAAGAAAATAGGATATACAGCTCCACAGCTCTGAACATGTAAAAAAGTGCACTTTGCCAAAACTTCCTGTAATCAGGATTACAGCTGTATTAATTCATTAGAGAAGCTTCTACGTAGTTGATGATACAACACAACAGTTAATAAGGTCACACAAAAATACTTTTTAGATCTGTATCTCAAGGACTTCATGCAGTAAAACAATAAAGGTGCCCTGTCTCCACTACGTATTTCTTCAAGAAAATAGCTCTACTGTGCAGTCAATCCTATTTCAGTACCCCAAACGCTCTTATGCTGCTTCCTTCCTTTTAAAGGTGGTATTCAAGGAAGGCAGGCAGAATCTGTCCCAGTTAGTTTACTGGGATTTATTGTTTATATGGGCAGGAAGCTCCAGCCTTTCCTGTTTCCATGCCAAAAACACAGAACAAAAAAAAAAATTCCAACATGAAAAGCTGCAGAGAAATCTGTAATGAGGTACAGCAGGAGGGAAGCAGCAGACAAAGCCAACCCAGATGTCCAATACGCAAGATGCCTAACACTCTCGTTTGAAACAGTTAGACCTATGTGTAACATATCGCCCATTACGTTCTCTGTTAAATAACACCAATTCAACATGCAAGTTTTAACTTTCCAAAACCTCACCAAAAAATACTCAGAAGTTGTATCATTATTAAAAAAAAAAACAAAACCAACAACCCAAACCAAAACAGTAAGCACTTAGTCTAGTCCAGCTACTTGGCTTTACAGAGCAAGCACTTGTACTTGCTCACCAGTTTCCATTCAAACAACCTATCTCATGACATTTACTGCTTATCCAGAGGGGTGAAAAAAATTAAATATAAGAGGAAATTTCCAACTTCTCCATCATTTCAGTATACTTACCCTACAGAAGGGCATTTTTCTTCATTTTAATACCAAATATGTCTGTGTATTTTTTCAACTTCAGTACCTTTTAGAAGACTGACCTATGTAATGCTGCTTTTGAAACATGGAAATCTAAGATAACATCAAGAAAGCTAGTAAAATCAATAGTGATGCTCATCAAGATCAAAACACAGTGGGTGTTTTTTTTCATGTGTTCACACAAGAACACACGTCAAAAATGTTTTTACCAAATCCATGGGAGAAATTTAAGAGTCTGCAAGAAGAAAAGGAGGATATTTGTCATACCTACACCTCTCTCTTACCACATGAAGAGACAAAAGAACGATATAAAATTCAAAGGAATTGTTCAATACCAGTAGAGTTTTAGGATTAATTCACGTTTGTCTTTGTTTCTCAAACAAAAAGCGTTAATCACCATGTTTAGTTAAAACCAGAACATCGGGCCAAGATGTCGTGAATCTAAATTACAGACGGGGGGAATAAAAAAATAAAACAAAACAAAAAACCTTGGCTCTGTCACAGACAGATTTTCTGAATGCATACTGCACAAGGCTATAAACTTCCTGATGTTGTTATGTTAAAAATTAGCCTTGCTAATCAGACAGTTAAGTGCAAGATCTACCTGTTCCGATCTATGCCCATTCACTTTATTTCATTGTCTCATACCACTGGAAAGATTTATTTTTCCACGTAGGTATCAGAAGGGAACAACAAAAGAAATCCCATAACCCAATTTCCAACCAGAAAGTGCTGGCTGACGTCCCATGCTCTGCATCAACTTCTAAGCACTGAACTCACACTGCCACTACACAGATCTTCAAAGTGTTATCTCATAAAAGAATCTCAAAGGCAATGTCAAATTTCAATTCATTTCACAAAGAAAAGCAGAAGAAACTTTGCTCCTAATGATTTTCACCAATACTTCTTTCTCTTGCCTGATCAGTGACTGCAAATCTTTATTTTCACCAATCTGCCTTCAGGATACCAAAATGTGTATTTGTTCACCTTTTCGTCCATCTCATAAGACGCCTAAAACAATTAGATGAAATGAATTTTATTCTTAAAGTATCAAAATCAAAAGAAGAGACCTAAACACAATCTGTGCTTAGAACACCCACTGGATAAATGCAGCGCATGCGTTGCAGTGTACCAGTTACTTGTTGCTGCTGTAACTCATCTCAGCTTCCATTATTCTGAGGATATGCACATGAAATGAGTGTGTATGACACTAAAAGTTATTACCAGTTTTAGAGCCATCAGCCTAATTTTCAAGCTTTACCCCCACAATACCAAGGCTATATTTTCTCTTCTTTCACACGACAAAGTTGTCCATTGTCAAATCCTTAAAACATCTGGAAATTCAGTACGATCACAGGTCCATGTTACTGCACTCTGGTTGGCAAGCTATGCGAAAATGCTGTATCCAGTCAGGCAGATACCTGATTTGGATCAAAATAACTATCAGATATTCCAATTTTGGCCCTTAGAACCGTGGAAAACAGACCTCGTGTTTCAAAACTGAAATGGAGACCACAGGTTTACAAACCATTCCAGAAACAGATTTAGTATTAAGTTCCTGCCTCCTCTGCACGTTGACTGAAAGATGAAATTATGGTTATTCCTTCATTTTCAGGTTTGGGTTAGACAAACTGAATGTTGAGCTATAAAACTATATATATATATATATATATAAATATACATATATACACACACACACACAGTTTTATAGGGCCATAATGTGGAAAACTAAAGTAAATGTGCATTATTACGAACAGGAAAAATAATTTAAGCTGTTTTGGGAAGAGGTTTTACAAATTTGTAAAACAATGCAAGGCTTTAGCCACTGTTTAGCTGCTAGAACGACTACTCAATAATGCTTATTCCAGTCTTTGAAACAAAAGCATTTAGATGCAATATTTCTAAAAGTGGAGCTGCTAAGACTCTGTAGTAAAACGCACTTGAACAAAAATACTTAGTGACCCTAACTACTTTTAAATTAGTAATATGTACACTCTAAACATACAAGCTTTATTTACTTATAAAAAAATCACATATTTCTGTTAAATAAAGGAAAAAGGACTCTCTACAGAGCTTCTGAATGTCATGTTTTATTTTACTGAAACCACATTTCACAGCACCAGAACTCCTCCAAAGGAAACAGCATCACTTACATAAAGCTAGCTTTGGTTACTAACACTTCAAATATTTGCTTGATAAATCTACCAGAAATACATGAAATCCCAGTCCAGTTTTTAGTAATTAGGACTGATCTGGTTTCCCACAGTAGTCTTATTAGTAAGCTGAAAAGGCATGGGTTGGAGAAACGGCCTGTTAAGACTGAATGACAATGGGCTGGACTGCTGAGCTTAAAGCATAGTAATCGATGGCTCAGCATCCAGCTGGTAGCAGGTAAGAAGCACCACAAAGGCTGATACCAGGGCCAATATTATACAGTATCTTCATCAACAACCTGGGTCCTAAGACAGAATGAATCCTCAGAAAATTTGTGGATGATACTAAACCAGGAAGAGTGATTGACTCTCCAAATAGAGATTCAACTCAGATGGACCTTGATAAACTTGAGGAATAAGCCAACAGGAATCTCATGAAGTGCAAAATTCTGCTCCTGGCGTGCTTCAGTGGAGCCTGGGAACAGACCGGTTGAACAACAGCCTCACTGAGATAGACCTGGGGATCACACTGGTTGCCAAGTTGAATATGAGCCAAGAGTCTGCTCTCATTGAAAACAGGGAAAGCCAAGAGGAGTCCAATCAAAGGAAACTTAATGCTGGTGAGATTGCAGCTCAAACACTGTGTCCTATTTCAAGCCCCCCAGGTTGAAAAGGAATTTGAGAACCTGGAGAGAGTCACCAAAATGGCCTGGAGCCTCGAGGATGATGCTTGAGAAGCAGGTGATGGAGCTGGGTTTGTTCAGCCTGACAAAGAGGCAGCCTAGGGATAATCTAATAGCAACTGAATCTGAAGGCACATTACAAAAACAATGGAGGCAAACTCTTCTCAGTATTGATGGACCACAAAACAAGAGGCAACAACCGTAAGTAATGGCTTGGGAAGTTCAGACTGGACATTAAAAAAAAACATCTGCGAGGTGGTTTGGTGCCATACTCAAGAGAGGTGATAATTTTTGTTCTCAGAGGTTTTCAAGACTCAGCAGACAAAGCCACAGCTGGCAAATGAGTGTTATTTGTAAACCTGCTCTGAGCAGCAGCCTGGACAGATGAGCCCCAGAAGTCCCTTCCAACCAACACTCCCACACACCACAGCCAGCTCTTCTACCGTGGAAGCTTTGCCACTCTCCACATCAAAAATCATTTTTAACAGGCAGATAAGGGACAGATTTAGCACTGACCAAGGACGCCTCTGTAACGTCTAGCTCATTAAATAGAGACTACCACCAGCTCCTAAACCCCATATCAACAAAACACCTTCTAACAAGCAGTAAGAAGGTCTCTCAATAAAAGAGCAATGAATGATTCCTCAGAAGTACTTACACAGCTTCAAAAACACAAGTACAAGTCTTGTTCTCAGAAGTGATTTAAAAGGTCCCATTCACTTAATTCATGTTTACATAGAAAGTCAACTGGCATTAAGAGAAAAAGAATTTATTACAACCTCAAGCTGGAGCAATCTGTCTCACAGAAAGATGCTACAAGCACATACTGTCCACAAACCAGAAAAGCAACACAGAGGCATGGGAAATAT